CGATTTCACAGATAATACCCGATTTCGAGTATTCTCTCCGACCTGTTTAATGCATGCAGAAGACTGAGAGGTGTTTTACCCACAGGAAATCACTTCTCATTTGAACACACACACAGCTGTCCAGGTACAGGTAACATATAGCCTGGAGCAGTAAGGGGATTTAAAGGGTATGTAAAGTGAAAAACAACAAGGGATAATTGTTAGTCATTTGATTAAAAACAAAAATCAAGGACAACAAGAGGCCTACAGGCCTTAAAGGTCACCTGAGTATCATGTAACAACTTTCCAACAATTGAATTAGGTTTGTGTTTTAAACCAGAAGCCATGAAATTTACAATTTTGAAAGAGGCACCATTGCTTATCACAATTATAAACAAAGCATGCTTACTCTATATATTTAACATCCAGACGTAGATCAAAGTAACAAAGAGAAAATGCACTTCTACTTTAAAACCAGATGTGCACCCCACCTCAAAGGAACCACTGACCCTGGGGCAACATATTTGAAAATTTTGGAAATTTTATCATAAATTTATTTCATCATAAATGGTTGATTGTTAGCTAAGAGCAGATTTCAAAACATTAATTTATTTTCAGACTATGTAACTCCCCCATCCCCCCCCCACCCCTGACGATACCCCCGACACAGGGAGCATGAAATTAATCATTTTTCTAGATGCATCTTCATCATAAATATATATACTTGGATCATTAGCATAATACCCATGAGCAAAGGAAAAGATTTTCAAATAATTTATGTATTTTCACTATATAATCAAAAGAGCCCCCCCCCCTTTTCCCCCTTTCCCCCTTCACCAAATAGCAAATCCCGACACAGGGGCCATGAAATTCACGATTTGGTTGAGACATAATAACTATATACTAGGTTAGTTTATTTAATACCCAGGAGCAGAGAAGAAGATTTTCAAAGAATTAATGCATTTCACTATATAATGAATAGAGCCCCACCCTAACACTAGAACCCCTGGCCCTGGGGCCATAAGTTTCACAACTTTGGAAGAGGCACTCTTGCTCATCATAACTATGCACTCAGTTAGTTTATTTAATACCCAGGAGCAGAGAAGAAGATTTTCAAAGAATTAATGCATTTTCACTATATAATCAATAGAGCCCCTACCTAACACCAGAACCCCTGACCCTGATGGGGCCATGAAATTCACAATTTTGGAAGAGGCACTCTTATTCATAGTAACTATGTACTTAGTTAGTTTATTTGATACCCAGGAGCAGAGAAGAAGATTTTCAAAGAATTAATGCATTTCACTATATAATGAATAGAGCCCCACCCTAACACTAGAACCCCGGGCCTGGCCCTGGGGCCATAAATTTCACAACTTTGGAAGAGGCACTCTTGCTCATCATAACTATGTACTTAGTTAGTTTATTTAATACCCAGGAGCAGAGAAGAAGATTTTCAAAGAATTAATGCATTTTCACTATATACTGTAAACCAACTTTTATTCGCGTGCGAGAAATTTTCGCGAAGTTCGCGACAGCCTCGTCATCGCGAATATTTCTCGCCGCGAACCAGTTTTTAAAGTCTCTCTTTCTATTTAAAACAGATCGAAAAAGGCTTGATCGCGAAAATAAGTCGTCGCTAACTAGTTTATCCCTGGTAAATCGCGTAATAAAGTCGTCGCGAATAAAAGTTGGTTTACAGTAATCAATAGAGCCACACCCTAACACTAGAACCCCTGATCCTGGGGCCATAAAATTCACAATATTGGAAAAGGCACTCTTGCTCATCATAACTACGTACTTAGTTTGTTTATTTAATACCCAGGAGCAGAGAAGAAGATTTCAAAGAATTAATGCATTTTCACTATATAATCAACAGAGCCACACCCTAACACTAGAACCCCTGATCCTGGGGCCATAAAATTCACAATATTGGAAAAGGCACTCTTGCTCATCATAACTCCGTACTTAGTTAGTTTATTTAATACCCAGGAGCAGAGAAGAAGATTTTCAAAGAATTAATGCATTTTCACTATACAGGTAACTCTCGATACCTTGAAGTCCGTGGGACCGAGGAAAAACTTCGAGAGATTAAGAGTTCGAGTTTTCAAGAGTCTGGAATTTTCCGGGTTTGCTTGGCCACTTTTAAAATTAGTCTTACTGGATGTAATGATTTTCATGCAGTACTAACTTTTCACACGTGGTTTTTATAAAACAGCGATATGATTTCGTATTTTAGATGAATATTTATTAATCTGAGTAAAGCTGAAAATGTACTTTGTCATTTTATGTTTATCTTTTAATTCTTTATAATATGGACATCATACTACGCATTTGTTAAATGAAAAACGACATTTTACAGTGCTGCATGGTACATAGCATTGTGTTTTTTTCAAATCAGGTGCATTGAACAAAGTTCCGTAAGCATGGTAAGTATTTGTCCAACAATAGTCGTCATATTGACACTGAGGCTGTTTCTGGATTTTCATATTTCGTTTAACTTTGACACGAACTCGAAATAAAAACTAAATTTACTGTATCGTCTTGTAATCTGCAATTACAATTTCTCAGTGACACTGCGTTTCTAAATTATCGTAATACAGTTGATGATAATTATTTTAATAGCATTTAGGCAACATAAGATTAATAATAAATCAATTATCACCTTGCAGTATAAGTGTCACCAGAATAAACATCCTGTTTCACGAGACACGCTTCTTCCGCCTGCATGGGGCCATTAAATGTCCAGGTAAAGTTGCTAATTATGTAACACATTATATAGACACATAGCCACTTCGAGGTATCGAGGGTAAATTTCAATAGAATATACATAGCGGGACTGCATTTTGACATCGAGGGATCAAGGGTTTCGAGAGATCAAGAGTTCGAGAAATCAAGAGTAAATTTGCTTAGTTATATAGGGGAAAAAATTGGGACTGGACACTCACTTCGACCGTTCAAGAACTTCGAGAGATCGAAGTTCGAGCCATCAAGAGTTACCTGTATAATCAATAGAGCCCCACCCTAACACCAGAGCCCCCTGACCCTGGGGCCATGAAATTCACAATTTTGGAAGAGGCGCTCTTATTCATAATAACTAGGTACTTATTTAGTTTATTTAATACCCAGGAGCAGAGAAAAAGATTTTCAAAGAATTAATGCATATTCACTTTATAGTCAATAGAGCCCTGCCCTAACACTAGCTGCAGATCTGTAGCGTTATGGTTTTATATATTTGTCTTTGACCACAACACTACAGATCCCGTAATGCAAAAAAGATGCAATTTACGGTGCAATATTTTTTGCGTACTTTTTGGGAGAATTTCTTCACTTTCTAGCATTGGTCAATCAACTACCTATCACCCTAATTCTAGACACATTCTGTAGCCAATATGTATATTTTATCTATCTCCCAACCATTTATAGTTGTCTCTACAAGCAATAATCTCGCTTGAAGTGAATTATCAGCAATCTAACATATAATTTTAATCAAGCGAGTTTATCACTTGTTGAGACGACTATAAAGGGTAGGTAGATAAATTAAATATACAGATAAGTTAAATAAAGTGCTAGAATTAGGGAGTGAAAGGTAGTTAATTTACCAATGCTGGAAAGTGGAGAAATTCTTCCCAAAAGTGCGCAAAAAATATTGCGCCATAAATTGCACCTTTTTCGCATTACAGGATCTGTAGAATTATGGTCAGAGACAAATATATAAAAGCATAATGCTACAGATCTGCAGCTACCCTAACACTAGAACCCCTGACCCTGGGGTCATAAAATTCATAACTTTGGAAGAGGCACTCTTGCTCATAAATAACTATGTACTTAGTTAGTTTATTTAATACCCAGGAGCAGAGAAGATTTTCAAAGATTTAATGCATTTTCATTATGACTATTCAATAGAGCCCCACCCTAACACCAGAGCCCCTAACCCTGGGGCCATGCATTTCACAATTTTGGTAAAGGACTCAATGCTAATGACATTCATGCCAACAGTTTGTCTGCTTGATGTCCAGGAGTAAAGAAGAATATTTTCAAAGATTTCATTAATTTTAGTGGTTTTGGCCCCACCCCTCAGGCCCCAGGGGGGCAGAGACCATAAAATTCACAATTTTTGTTCCCCTTTAGGTGTAGATGCTGTATACCAAATTTGGTTGAAATTGATTAAGTGGTTTCAGAGAAGAAGCTGAAAATATTCAAATGTTGTCCAGGAATATAGAAAAAGATTTTTAAAGATTTCATTAATTTTAGTGGTTTTGGCCCCACCCCTCCTGCCCCAGGGGGTAGGGGACCATAAAATTCTTAATTTTTGTTCCCCTTCATCCATAGATTCAGTATATCAAATTTTGTAGAAATTGGTTCAGTGGTTTCAGAGAAGAAGCTGAAAATGTTCAAATGTTAACACACAACGAATGAAAACAGATTGCAAGTGACTAAGGTGACCTAGAAATCACTGCTTAAGGTCACAAAATGAAGTCAATTTTTCTGGTGATTTTATACATCATAATACCGATGTCATTAAGCCCAGTTCTGCAAGAGAGTGGTGGAGATGTGCGTCTGTCATATTAGATTTCTCTATCTCAGATATCAGAAGGGTTTTACCCTTGGCATTCAATGTCAAACGTGTCTGTTTTCTCATCTCCAATATCAGCATGAAATGAACTATTTTACATTTACTTTTGTTTACTTATTATTGCAGTTTACATAATTTGTGTTTGGTTGTTTACAGCACTGACTTGCAAGTGAGAATTCGACGATAATTTATAAAACTTTCTCTTCTACTTTGGAAGCAGTTACTTTTGTTGCTGTAAAGAATGTTTAACAATAGCATGTATCATATAACTCTCTCTCTACACAGTTGGTAAAAACTGATTACTCTGAGCAGTTACTAAGTATACAGCTTATATATGGGCCGGTTAAATATATGAACGGAATAAAAGAATATGCCTGCAAGAAACGTTATTAAGAAGAACGAAATAGTTAAACAAAATTTTTGGTATTAAGCTCAATAACAATACCTTCCATTCTATGAATAGATATCCTTCTTTCCAATTCTTTATTTTCACGCCATCTGGATGTCTGGCTGGTTTCTTTGCATCTGTTTTACACAGGGTTGTTGGTTTTGATGCAATACTAAATCCTTTTACATTTAATGCTTTAATTCTGAAGGTATACTCAACCCCAGCAGAAAGAGGTAAACCATTAATTTGTGTTCTATTATCTGAAGTTTGAAACAGAAAAATCCACTCATCTGGGTGAAAAGGTGTATTGTATTCAATAGTATAATTAACAATTGGATGGAAATTGTTAAACCCTGCAGACCACTTTAGTCCCAACTTCCAGTCTCCACAACTTGTGATCTTAACATCATTTGGAGGATGAGGAGGTGCTACAAAGAGATTACATGTACCAATAAAAAAATTTGTTTAAAAAAGAAATAAAGTAGTGTTAGTACTGTTATTGGGACTTTTACTCCCCAAAATACAGAGCATAGTTAAACTAGAAATTAGGGCTGTGCAATATTACCGGTATATCGGTATATCGCTCCCCAAAATACAGAGCATAGATATTTATAAAAATATATAAAATAGAAATGTGGCTCCAGAGAAATGCACAATGCAACCCAAGGCACTTCTGTATTGCAACATGCAAAATAAGAGGTCTTTTTATCATTTTTTGGCCACACTGCTCACCTAAGCACATGGGCTAGATAACAAGCTTTAATTTTAGGCCCATATAGTATGTATTGTTTTAATCATTAAGTTACATTTTATGCTATTTCAATAAAACAACTCCCCCCCCCAAAAAAAAAAAAAAAACGTATAAAGAATATACCACGCATAAACTTTTTTTTCAATTTGAAAATACATCAAATGAGTACATTTTGCAATGTGGTCTTATCCCCCCCCCCCCCTTTGAACTTGAAAAAAAGCAATATAGTAATCAGTTAATTATGGTTTTTGAAAAGTTTAAACCTAGCAGTGGTCCAAACCAATCCTTCACCTGAGCAAAGGGAAAGGGTATAATTTGGTCCAAACCAATCCTTAAAAGGGAAACAAACTTGAATCTACACTAACTAAGGATGCTTGCATATTTCTTTGACTACCTGTGGCTTTATTGCCCTTTACATTTGAACTAACATTGTGGCCCCGCCCTACCCCCTGGGGTCATGACTTGAACTACACTACCTGAGAATGCTTCCATATGAATAGGACTAATCATTGAAAAGAAGATTTTTTAAAAAAATTTCTACATGTTTCTATGTAAAACTTGGATTCCATGTTATGACCCGCCCTACCCCCTGCGGTCATGATTTGAACTAAATTGAATGTCCACTACCTGAAGATGCTTCCATAAAAACATGATCATTCATGCCTTTGCTATTCTTGAGAAGAAGATTTTTAAAGAATTTCCTATATATTTCTATGTAAAACTTTGATCGCCCATTGTGGCCCTGCCCTACCCCCTGGGGTCATGACTTGAACAAAACTGAATCTACACTACCTGAGGATGCTTCCCTATAAGTTTCAGGTTTCCTGGCACAGTGGTTCTCGAGAAGAAGATTTTTAAAACATACCATCAAATTTTCACTATTTCTGAATTATCTCCCCTTTAATAGGGGCGTGGCCCTTCATTTGAACAAATTTGAATCCCCTTTACCTAAGAATACTTTGTGCCAAGTTTGGTTGAAATTGGTCCAGTGGTTCTTGAGAAGAAGTCGAAAATGTGAAAAGTTAACGACAACAGACAACGGACAAATTTTCTAACAACAGGCCCATGGGCCTTATAGGTCACCTGAGCATCATGCAACAACTTTCAAATGATTGAATTTGGTTCATGTTTTTAGCTAGATGCTCTGGCATTCACAATTTTGAAAGAGGCACATTGCTAATCATAACTATACACTTAGCAAATGTTTAGATTGTTTACTTAATACCTATAAGCAGGGTAAGGGAATAGAAATGCATGTCAACTAATCAGTAATATTCAGCAATAATCAGGAGTGCCCCTACCACAAATGAACCCCTGACCCTAGGTCTACACATTGCACATTTTTGAAAATGCACACTTGCTTATCAAAAATGTTTGATTAATACCAAGGAGCAGATTTCAAACAATTCATTTTTAGTATATAAGTAAAGCACCCTCCCCCTTCTTTGGTATCTCTGACCCAGGGGCCTTGAAATTCACAATTCTGGAAGAAAAGCCCTTGCATATACATAATCATATATCTGCTTATTACCCAGGAGTAGTCAACATTCTCAGAAAACCCTAGAGAAAAAGATTTTTATAGATGTAATGTATTTTCACTATATAATCATTATAGAGCCACACCCTAACACCATAACCCCTGACCTTGGGGCCATAAAATTCACAATTTTGGTAGAAGCATTCTTGCTCATCATAACTATGTCCTTAATTAGTTTATTTAATACCCTGAAGCAGAGAAGAAGCTTTTCAAAGAAACCAGAAGTCTCTGTCGAGACTGTAGCTCTACTGGTTTGTACTTATCAAAAACCATTGCACTATTTTATGAACCTTAGTGTAGTCTACTTGTGTGCCAACTTATTTTGATATCAAACTAAAATTGTAGGAGGAGTAGCGTTTTTAAGGAATTTAACAGAAAATTCTATTTTTAGTAACCATGGCAACACGGTTCATCGAAATAAAAAACCGATGCACTATTCTATGTATCTTAGTGTAGTCTACTTATGTGCCAAGTTATATTGAAATCAGACCAAAACTGTAGAAGGATTAGCGTTTTTAAGGAATTTCACAGAAAATTCTATTTTTAGTAACCATGGCAACACCGTTCATCAAAATTAAAAACCGATGCACTATTCTATGTATCTTTGTGTAGTCTACTTGTGTGCCAAGTAATACTGAAAACAGACTAAAATTGTAGGAGGAGTAGCGTTTTGAAAAATTGTTTACAGACAGACGGACAGACAGACAGACAGACAGACAGACAGACGGACGGACGGACGCCGGACGCATTACTATCGCATAAGCTCTTCTGGTCTCTGACCAGTAGAGCTAAAAATTATGTATCTTAGTGTAGTCTACTTGTGTGCCAAATTATTTTGAAATCAAATTGAAACTGTAGGAGGAGTAGCATTTTGAAAAATTGTTTACAGACGGACAGACAGACAGACCAACGATGGATGCAATACTATTGCATAAGCTCTTCTGGTCTCTGACCAGTAGAGCTAACAAGAGGCCCAGGGGCCACATCGCTCACCTGAGCAAATCGGCTAGGAAAATTAAGCACACATCAGATTAGAACTGAAAAGTTTACTGAAGGGGGGAAGGGGGGGGGGCTTGAATTTTAACACTACTTGAGAATGCCTTCATATTTAATACTGCAAATGACTTTGCTGTTCTTGATCAAAAGATTTCTTAAAAACATTTTCTTCCTAAATATAACTTCATAATAATTTGAATTTGATTCCCCATTGTTTCCCTCCCTACCCCAAAGGCCATGATTTGAATAACTTAAATCTTCAATACATGAGGATGCTTTAATGTCAATATGACTAAACATAGCTTTTCTGTTCTTGGGATTTTTCCCTTTATTTTCTATTAAAACTTTGATTACACCATTGTGGCCCCACCCTACCTTTGGTGGTTATGATTTGAACAAATTTAATTCTACACTACCCGAAAATACTTCCATATAAATACTGGAATCACTAATCATGGCTTTGCTAGAAAAAAAGAAGATTTTTTTAAATATATCTTAATGTAAAACTTGGATCCCCCAATGTGGCCCCACCCTATCCCTTGGGGTTATGATTTGAACAAACTAGAATATATAGTACATGAGGATGATTCCACATTAATATCACTAATCATGGCTTTGAAGTACTTGAGAAGACAATTTTTAAAAATTTCCATATCTAGTCCTATGTAAAACTTTGATCAGCCATTTTGGCCCCCCCCCCCCCCCCCCCCCGCGGGGTCATAATTTGAACAAACTTGAATCTGCACTACCTGAGGATGATTCCACATGAGTTTCATCTTTCCTGGTCCAGTGGTTCTTAAGAAGATTTTTTTATAAAGATTTTCCCTATATACTCCTTTGTAAAACTTTGATCAGCTATTGTGGCCCCACCCTACCCCCCGGGGTCATGATTTGAACAAACTTGGATCTACACTACCTGAGGATGATTCCACATGAGTTTCATCTTTCCTGGCCCAATGGCTCCTGAGAAGAAGAGTTTTTTTTTTATCCCGCTTCAGACAAATTTGTCGATTACTGATTGGATAAAAGCTAATCACATGACGCCCTGAAATTTTCCGTATTACGTCTCCGTTTCCATATTACGTCTCCGTTGAGGCGTAATATGAAAATCGGGCACGCGATTCCGTTTGAAGCGTTGTTATTGTAAATAAAAATGGCGGCTAAGAAACGGTTAACGTAGGTAGCTAAGTTGAATTTCTTGTTACCGTAACGATATTTTATGTTGATTGTTATTGGATTAAAACTCATATTTTCATAATATGCACAAATATTTTTTTTTATATTGAAAAAGGTCTTCAGCGGGATAAATTCGTTACACAGTCAGTTACTGACCTAATACGGATTCATACAGGATGTGAAATGGAAATCCGTATTGGGACTCGGCTTCGCCTCGCCCAATACGGATTTCCATTTCACACCCTGTATGAATCCGTATTAGGTCACTAACTGACTGTGTAACTAATAATATATTCCTATGTAAAACTTTGATCAGTCATTGTGGCCCCACCCTACCGCTAGGGCTCATGATTTGAACAAACTTGAATCTTCACTACATGAGGTTGATTCCGCATGAGTTTCATCTTTCATGGCCCAGTGGTTCTTTAGAAGAAGATTTTTAAAGATTTTCCCTATTTACTCCTATGTAAAACTTTGATCCGCCATTGTTGCCCCACCCTAGCACCAGGGGTCATGATTTGAACAAACTTGAATCTACACTACATGAGGATGATTCCACTTGAGTTTCATCTGTCTTGGCCCAGTGGTTCTTGAGAAGAAGATTTTTTAAAAATGCCATTAATTTTTCACTAATTCATAATTATATCCCCTTGGAAGAGGGCGTGGCCCTTCATTTGAATAAACTTCATGCCCCTTCACCTAAGGATACTTTGTGGCAAGTTTGGTTGAAATTGGCCCTGTGGTTCTTGAGAAGAAGATGAAAATGTGAAAAGTTTGCGACAACGACAACAACGACAACAACAACCACAACGACAGATGACGGACAAATTTTGATCAGAAAAGCTCACTTGAGCCTTCAGCTCAGATGAGCTAAAAACCTTGAATTTACACTACCTGAGGATGCTTCCATATAAGTATGACTCTTCATGGCTTTGCTATTCTTGAGAAGAAGATTTTTAAAGAATTTTTCCTATATTTCTATGTAAAACTTTGGTCAGCCATTGTAACCCCCTCTCTACCCCCTGAGGTCATGATTGGAACAAAGTTGAATCTACTTCACCTGACAGGTTGATAACACATGAGTTTCATCTTAACTGACCAAATGGTTCTGGAAAAGATTTTAAAAGATTTTTCCTATAAATTCCTATGTAAAACTTTGATCCCTGATTGGGATCCTTTGATTTTAGCTCTGCCCTATCCCCAGGGGTCATGATTTAAACAAACTTAAATCTAAACTACCTGAGGATGCTTCAACAGAGTTTCATTTTTCCTGGTCCAATGGTTCTTGAGAGGAAGGTTTTTAAAATATGCCAATAACTTTTTACTTATTCATAACTAATCTCTCCTTTGAATTGGGATCAAGGATGAATGATCAAGGATAATTTGTGTGAAGTTTGGTTAAAATTGGTCCAGTGGTTTTTGAGAAGAAGAAATGTCAAAAGTTTAAGACTACAATGAGAATGACAACAACGACAGACAACAGACATAATTGATAAGAATAGCTCACTTTAGCCTTCGGCTCAGAATTCACAATTTTGGAAGGGGCAGCCTTATTCAACATAACTATGTACTTGGTTAGTTTTTTTATTATTCAGGAGCAGAGAAGAAGATTTTAAAAGAAATAATTCATTTTCAATATAAATCTATATAGCCCCGCCTTAGCAATAGAACCCCGACCCTGGTGCTATGAAATTTATAATTTTTGAAGAGGCAGCCTTATTCAACATAAATTTGCACTTTGGTAGTTTATTTCATACCCAGGAGAAGAGAAGAAGATTTTCAAGGAATTTATGCATTTTCACTACATAATCTATATAGTCCCATCCTGCTACTGAAACCCCTGACCCTGAGGCCATGAATTTCACAGTTTTGGAAGAGGAAGTCATTTTCAACATAACTATGCACTTGTTTAGTTTATTTAATGCCCAAGAGCAAAGAAGAAGAATTTCAAAGAATTTATGCATTTTACTATATAATCTATATAGCCCGCCCTGTCGCTGAAACCCCTGACCCTAGGGCCATGAATTTCACAATTTTAGGAAGAGGCAGTCATTTTCAACATAACTATGCACTTGTTACTTTATTTAATACCCAGAAGCAGAAAAGAAGAATTTCAAAGAAATAATGCATTTTCACTTTATAATCTATTTAGCCCCGCCCTGTCACTGAAACCCCTGACCCTGGGGCCATGAATTTCACAATTTTGGTAGAGGACTCAATGCTGATCACAATCATATCAACAGTTTGACTGCTTAATGTTCATGAATAGAGAAGAAGATTTTTATAGATTGCACTAATTTTAGTGGTTTTGGCCCCACCCATCCCCAGGTAGACAGGGACCATGAAATTCATAATTTTTGTTCCCCTTCACCCATAGATGCTATATGCCAAATTTGGTTGAAATTGGTCCAGTGGTTTCAGAGAAGAAGATGAAAATGTTCAAATGTTAATACACGACAAATGATGGATGACGGCGGATGAAAACGATAGCAATAGGTTACCTGAGTTTACTGAGGTGACCTAAAACTCACTTAAAATAACATCTCCCAAGCCTAGATAATGAGGAAAATTTGAATTTTATAAGAGACAATTACAGTTTGACTAAATTGGAAGTTACCTACCTTTCACTTTCAACCTAACAGTTCTTTGATCTTCATCAATTCTATTACTGGCAATACATGTGTAGTTTCCTGAGTGTATGCTTTTGACTTTCAGAATTTTAAGCACTGTGCAGTTTTTCTCACAGCTCAGCTGGTTGACACCCAAGTCTTGCAAGTGTTGACCATTCTTTCTCCATGTGTATTTAATGTTTTCTTTTGGATCCGACATAGCAAAACAAGAAAACATGACATCTGTGCCTTCATCAACAGTTTTTTCATTGATCCAGTGTATTATTTTGGTTTTGTCTTTAAAGAGAAATTAAGAAGTATTCATGAAGACAAACAAATAATTCAGTTGTATGAACAAAAATATAGTAAAAATTAATTAAATTTGTCCAAAAGAGACAAATTCATTATCCTTGTATAAAATATGATAAATTTAATGATCTTGTAGGAAAACAAGTGATTATTTTTCCAATTTAACATTTTGGTCTTTTGAGTGATAACCTTATATATTTTATGCAATGACAGCTAGTGCATGAGCACTGCAGTCCAAACTATTCTAAAGTTATTGATTGTGAGAAATCTACAAGGGTTGTTAACAAGAGGCCCATTGGCCACATCACTCACATGAGTACCTTTGGCCATGCTATTCTTTGCCAGATTTCCCCATTGTAATACGTAATGTGACCCCACTCTACCCCCTTGGGTCATAATTTGGAGAAAATCTAAACTACCCCAGGATGCTTCCACATAAGTTTCAGGTTTTCTGGTCCAGTGGTTCTTGAGAAGACTTTGAAAGATTCTTCCTATATATTTCATTGTAAAACTTTGATTCCCTATTGTGCCCCCCCCCTACCCCCAGGGTTCATGTTTTTAACAAGTTAGAATCTACACAGCAGCATGCTTCCACATAAGTTTCAGCTTTTCTGGCCAAGTGGTTCTTAAGAAGAAGATTTTTCCTACATATTTCAAATGTAAAACTTGGATTCCCTATTATGGCCCATCCTACCCACGGAGGTCATAATTTGAACAATTTTACTTTACATATGGATGCTTCATCATAAGTTTCAGCTTTTCTGGCCTAGAGGTTCTTGAGAAGATTTTCAAAGTTTTTTCCTTTACCGGTATACTTCAATGTTAAAATTGTTTTTCCTATTGTGGCCCCGCCCTTACCCCAGAGGGTCATTATTTGAATAATTTAGAATCTACTCTACTTAAGAATACTTCCACATAGGTTTCAGCTTTTCTGGGGCTCAGTGGTTCTTGAGATGAAGATTTTTCAAGATTTTTCCTATATACTGTATCCGGGTTATTTTCGCCCCGTGTTATTTTCACCCTTTCACACTTGCAAACAATTTTGCCCCGTTTTAAATTCACCCAGTCGTAGTTTTGTTTAAGAAATTATACTGTATTCTTTGAATTCGCCCCGTTTTAAATTCGCCCAAATGATAGTAGGGAGAAAGGGGCGAAAATAAAACGGGGGCGAAAATTTCCCTGTATACAGTATTTCAATATTGTGGCCTGCCCTACCCATGTCGGATATGATTTTTTGAGAAGCCCAAGGGCCTTGAATGGCTCTTTTTATAAATTATACATTTTATCACTTCTTTTCGAAGCCTCTAATTATCCTGAATATATAAATAAAACCTTGAAATTGCAAAAGTAGGCCATCATGACTTGCGTACATTTTGGTTTAAGCACTCTGAGAGCCCAGGATAATCAACTGGCAAAGTGTGATGATTCTAAGCCCCTTATTGATATTATCCGAGGACTAATTGACAATTAGTTTAATGATTCTAAGCAAATTGGTTCCTGAGATATTTAAATATAGCTTTAAAATGTCAAAAGTAGGTCACTGTGACCTACTTTTTGGTTGACTATCTCCGAAAACCTAAGATGCATCAACTGACAAAGTTTAATGATTCTAAGCCAATAAGTACAAGTGATTCTTAAAAATAGCTATAAAATTTCAAAAGTAGGTCACAGTGACCTACTTTTTCATCAACTTTCTCCGAAAACCCAAGATATATCAACTGATGAAGTTTTGATGATTCTAAGCCAATAAGTACCCGAGGTACTTATATATAGCCATAAAATGTCAAAAGTAGGTCATTGCAGTGACCTTCTTTTTGGTCAATATTCTCCAAAGATCCAAGATGCATCAACTGACAAAGTTTTATGATTCTAAGCCTACGAATATTTGAATATAGCCATAATATTTCAAAAGTAGGTCACAGTGACCTACTTTTTGGTCAACAATCTCCAAAAACCCAAGATGCATCAACTGACAAAGTTTTATGATTCTATAAGCTTATAAGTACCTGAGATACTTTAATGAAGTCATAAAATGTAATAAATAGGTCACGGTGACAAACTTTTTGGTCAACAATCTCTGAAAAGCCAAGATGCATCTGTAGTAGATGTATATTTTATTAAATAATTTAATAAATGATAAATAAATTTAAGATAGTTAAAAAAATTAAAATCTTAAGTCTTTCTATTACTTAAATTATGAAGTGTTACCACCCATCCCTCTTGATCCACCTAAACATTTCACACAGACATTTCATTCGTTTTAGATTTGCATTCTATTGGTCAAGAGTTTTACATTGTCAGTGATTATTACTCAGTTTGAAAGATCCCAGAGTCTTAGTCATGTAGAGAGCTAGATCTGGTGAATTACTGAATTATTTGAAATCTACATTATTTATATTCTTGACATTTTCTGGACAGAGACATGTAAGTACTAATATTTTAACCTTTTATATTAATTGATTAGAATGTGATATACATGAGAAACTACGAATTTGATACTTGGTAAAAATTATGTGTATAGAATATTTTATGTCTATGATTAGATCAGATGTGGATAAATCTGATACAGTAGAGACCCGTTATTACGATGTTCACTTTGTCACGGTAAAATATCGTAATACCGAGGGCAACGTAATAAAAGTTCCCTATAAAATCCAGTAAAACTTCGTTTGGAAAACGTGTACAGGGGGTATATTTCTCTCCTTCTGTCTCCTTTTTATGCTCAAATTCTTCTCCAATATGCCATATACACTTAATTCATTGATTACTTATCTTTAAAACTTATTTTCATGATGCTATTTCTTCTTTTTCCATCTTAGTAAAAGCATAGAGCACATTTTTTAATAGAAACTTCGACAATCTTCCTTTAATTGCTGCCATTTTCTGTAACATGTACTTTCACTTTCGTTTCTGTCCAGATAATGCGTTCGTGAAAATTTCAATGTCTTCGTAGTCATAGTCATTTCTATATAAACAACAACCAAATTTCTGATTATTTTTTTCTCTTTGTATTCAATTAAAAGTCATTTCTAAATAAACAACAACATTTTTTTTATTCAAATAAAAAGGTCAAAGTAAATAGACAAGCAATCTGTCAAAATAATTTTTTTTTAATTACTGAACAGAGGTCAATTAGCAGTTCAGCAATTATCGATTTGTATTTCTGCTGACAACTGAGAGGTAGTCCAAGCCACTATCCAAGCTGTTAAAACGTTTGTAGTGGAGTTCAAAATTTGTCCAAATTATGTTTGATACCCAAGCTGTTTATTTACGCAGTTTATTTGCAAACGAAATTACACATTATGTGTACCTGTGTACAGCATACATGCATAATATTAAATATAACCTTTTATTCATTTAATTAATTTATTAAACTAAGTATGAAATAAAGAAAAGAATTTAAAAAAAAAGAATTACAGCGATAGATAAAGAAGAAGCTAGGTTTATGAGTAAACTTTAATTGTTTAACAATGGCTTTGGCACGTCTCCAAATCTACTGGGCTCGCTGGAACAGTCCAGGTGGGTGCAATCAAGCGTCACTAATCACCAAACTGCCCTGTTAGTTAACACTCTCTCAGAGCACAGGTGTTCCAATGTTTATTTAGCGTCTCCTTAAGTGTCTACCAGCAATCAACACTGAATAAACACGGAGTGAAAAGATTTTTGACAGAATTTTTACATCGTATTACTGAGACCTGGCGATTTTGGACAACGTAATAAACAGTTCTTTTTTGTATAGATTTGTTAAGAAATGGATTTGTGCTTTGAATTTACAACGTAATAAGCGTTCTATCGTATAAAACCGTCACCGTAATAGCGAGTCTCTACTGTAATTCATATGATTTAATATATTCAGATCCAATTAAATGTAAATAAAAGTCAATATTTTCATATTAAAGAAATATTTTTGTGTAAATACAGAGTTATTGTAAAGAGCATATCTTTAGGAATTTATTTATTATTGATATAGTGTAACATCATTTTATTATCTGGAAAGACCCATACAGTATGTCAGATGGACTTGGTTCCACAAACCGGTATGCATGATTACTGTTTTTATGTTCCCCAAACGGAGTTTGGGAACATATTGTTTTTACTTGGTTTCTTATTATTAAGGTCTTCCGACTTCCTTCGGAAGACCTTATTGTTTTCCTTCTGTTTTTTATTATTGTAACGGTTGATTTTGCGCATATTAGAAGAATGCGAAATGCGCACCATAGTTTATTAACCGACGGTCTATTTATAGAGTTTCTGTTCTTGCGCCAGGTATTTAATTTTATTTGGAGATTATATTATTAAAAACTTTAAAAAAAATTTGAATATTAATCTAGTTGTTATCTATTTTTAATTAATTTTCAGTGCAGTGATTTGAATTTATAAAATTATTATTTTAAACTGGTTCGTCGGGTTATCTATAAATACTCACTATGCTGAAGCCCCTGTTATGAACAAAACGTGTTCGAGATAGAGATTGAGAGTGATGCGTGTTATGGTAAGAATGTTGTTAATTTTGTGTTTTATTAAACTTGAATTATACTAAATATTATATCCTTTTATCGTTAATATTATAAATACCGGTAATTCTGTTTATTTAAATGTAGAGACCACATGTGCAGTAAAAGTACGAGTGAGTGACTGGGTGTGGCATCACCATATTTTGGTGGTATGTGTTCAGTTGAATTTAAATTCATATACTGATTAACTCTTTTATATTTGTTTGTGTGTTCTTTATACACTGAATTGACCACGGATTTTTTCCGTTTTTTCCTGATTATGACAACGAGCACACGGCGGGTGTGACCGGTCGGCAGGGGATGCTCACTCCTCCATGGCACCTGATCCCACCTCTGATGTTTCGGAGGTCCGTGTTTGCTCTGCTCTTATTTTGTATATTTGTTTAATGGACGTTGAGATTGAATACTGTTCGTTATTTCCATATCCTTCTATACGAAATCCAGTATTTTTGTTTTGCACGACGGAAAAACAGATCGTATATCATAGTTATAAGA